GCCTGAGTGGTTACTACACTCTGGACGCATTCCTTGTTCCGACTGCCTAAGACTATGCACAAGGCCATTTTCGATTTTTCTTCTCGTTTGTATGTAAACTGTGCTGCATTTAATCTTGTTTGCGAAGGCCCCAAGTACATGCTTAAAGGTTTTTCTGTCAGCTAAATATACCGCTATTCTGTATTTGACGCCAATACAGTAGCCCCAGGGGCGTGTTTCATAAATGCCCTTTATTTTCCTGTGGTTTTTCTCCGTCTCGAAAGGCCTCCTTTCCTCTCTACTCTGTGCTCTTAAGAGTGCTACCTACTGCTGCTTCATTCCATGACATGCAGCACCAGTTCTAATGCGTTCATTCCTAGCACAGTGGTTTATTTACTTAAAATGCAATTCTCAAACCCAGTCGGATTAGGCATGTTGACATGTCTAAAAACAAGAACTTCCCAAAACCTTTACTGACTACCTTGATTGAAAGCATTAAGGTCGTCTCTGGCTAGTATTTGTCACGTAACCTGCCACGCATGCCATCTTTCCCACCGGTAATCACTCACGATATCAGCAGAAAAAAACGCCATATTTTCCCTTCGGAGCCTTCCTGAGTTTTGTCCAATATGCATGTATCCTACCCATTTTTTTGCGATTTTTTCTAAAGAAGTTAGCAAATCGATTCGAGAGCTGCTATGCACTTTAAGAGGTAAAATTCGGTGGGGATATGAAAGCAATTTTGCCATCTTTTGAAATCGCTGACCATTGCTTTCAAGAAGCTCACATTGCCACTCTTATTGTGGTATCCTGTTTAATTGCGAAGATAAATCACCAGGTTGTTGTAAAATAACAAATAGCAATTGAACTCGCCGACAGTAACAACGTATGTTTCGCTAACATAATGTCATGTGAAAGTTTGCAACTGTCGTTCTTGATTCTTTTTAAAAGAGAATAAGTATGATTAGTTACCGCCCCAAGCCCTGTGCGCCCAACTTGAGAATACTTCTGCTGTATAACCTTTGAATCGCCTACATCATAATCCAGAAATTAAGACTGCTTTGTGTGTTTACATTCCTGTGTAGGCATCACAGCAAAATCCGAGAATAAAGACGATTTCTATAACTCAAAGCAACGTAATTTTAATTAACAAACAGGACTTAAATTCAAGGAGTAAATCCGCGGCCTCATTTTATATTTGCCTATTTTGTGTCAATCACAATTTCGAAGTAATCTTCTACGGAACTGAATCCATAGTTCGCTTAAGTTTGATGCGGATATCCAATCTTTCCCTGTTAATTTTAAAAGTTATGCTTTGTGCAGAGAGTTAATCTTGGGCCGAAATTATCTGACCTTATTTCTGACAATTTTACAATAGTTAAACTGAGTTAAGTGGACTTTTAAGTCTACTTCCAATTCTCTAGTTTGCCTTTTTTGTTCCTTGTCTTCCGACTAAGGGGTGAATTTCGTACCTATTTCTCCTTCTAGGGGATTCCGTAATTCATTGGTTCTTATAATACATATAATAGTATATTATATATTGTAATCGGAAGTCTGTGGATATAATAAGCTCTTCGTTTTCAATTATTCTGTACAGATTGCTGTTAGGTAAGTTGCCAGATAAGTTCTTCCGCAAGCCCAGTTTTTACGCTTGACCTCTTTAGTACTGTACCATATACTTAAGTACCACGAAGCCTTTGGTCACAGACTGCTAAACTAAGAGTTGGGTTGGTGAATCCCATAGTTCAGTGCTCCATTTGACGTAATGGTTTGTATTACTAGGGTCGTCTTTAATTCTCTCAAAGGATACATCTCTTCGGTTTCAGCATGATCGGCTAGTAACGTTTGAAAGGTTGTTTTCTGACGGGTTTCATTTGCTTGTCCTTGCGTTCGCAATTGCTACATGTCATATTTTTCAACAAGTTTGCCTTTTCCGGTTTCATGGGACAAAAATAAAGTAGACACGGTTTTCCTCCACATTTAATTCCGTTTTCATTGCGATATCTTACACTGCCCCCCTGCTTTGCGCCGACAGTCTGACTGCTGCAACATGTTCTCGTGCCCGTTCTTGAAGAAAGCGCCCGCTGCATTCTTCCAAAAGGAACAACAAACTCTCTTGACCACTGCTCTGCGATGCCCGTTCGCGCAGCGTCTGCTCTCACAGCTGCCAGCTCAGCCTGTCCGGGCCATGCAGACTGCTGCTGCTGCCGCGACGGAGAAGTGTGAAAGGCCGTACCCGCCTGTTTGCGGTATGTTTGTCAGTTCCTACGCTTTTGACTGTGTTCTAGCTTATACTCTGTGTGTGTTTGTTAGGAAGCACATGCGCAATGAACTCCGCGGTAGATGCGCTGGACCTATATAGGGACCAGGTCCGGGCACGACAG